GTAGTTTCACAAAAAAAAAGTGTTCAAAAATCCACTCCTTGTATAAGTTCCCAAATATTATTTTTAAACCAGTGAGCGGAGCAGTATAGTCGGACGGGGCCGTCCATATGATACCCTACACAACTACCAAGAAAATCAAACTTTCTGCGGTTCCATATTCTGAGCCTGGCCAATAATTTGAGATATTTGCACCATTTTTACCGACTATAGATCAACAACTTCAACTTGCTTTTTCTTTTGCACGATCTTCTTCTCCACGTAAAATTTCACGATGTTCGGACCATAACTGCGGCCTCTGGGGAGCCCAGAAAAACCGACAAAATTAAGTATTTGGTTCATTTCACCCCTAAATATTATCCGATCTTTACCAAAAACAATAGGGTTCTTCATTGGGCAGAACCCATCCTACATGCAAAATTTCGTGAAGATTGGTCCATAACTGTGGTCTGTATCGTGTTTCCAAATTATATCGACTCAGCTAGTCGAGTTATGACGATCGATATACTTAAAAGTGGGTCTAGGACCAATATTTCGCGACGTTACAAACTCTTGGGCCTGCACAAAGATATAATACCCTGACAACATAGTTGTGTAAGGCATAAAAATCCAAGCCTATGGTAGGCCCCTGGAAAAATATTTAAAAACAATTCATCTTGCGTCTCTTCCCCCGTTTATCATACCTCCTCTTATTTTTATTTTTTAAATTATTTCCATGGCGTTGATTATGTTACGCTCACCACAAAAAATAGAGAAGCTTGTCTTCAGATGCTCCCATTTTTTTCTTTCTTTGTCCCACCTAGTTGACCCATAAGCCATCCTCTGCCAAGAGACAAAAATATTATTTTCCTTGGCTTTCATTCTATGTTCTGCCTTAAAGACCTTGGCCTTTTGTGCCAAAGATTACAAATTGTTGATAAACCTTGGCAAAGTAATAAATATTTATTTTGCTTGCGTCCAATTCCCAAAGCTGCTGCTATTGCATCGGTGAGTAGTAGCTGCCTGGAACTGAACTCTTCTTGAGATTAAGCAAAGATGATTGCTTTGGTTACGACTTACATGCCATAACATATGCAAATTTAGTTTAGCACAAAATGCCTAGAGGTAGAGAGAGCGATATGAGAAAAAATAAAATAAGGAATACAAGGCACACATACACATACGCATTCATATACTTTGATATAGGCAAGGGAGTGTTTGGAAAATTGTTCAGTCATTACTCAATTTTTTTATATTTTTTTATTTATTTATTTTTTATCTTTAGAGTTTGTTTTCCAATTTTTCCTTTTTCTTTTGTGAATTTCTTATCCTCTTCCCATTATCATGCGTGTGAATTTTGCTCCAAGTTATCCATAAATATTGACTTGACTCTTTTGTCATGCCCCAACAACAAAAAAAGATTTGTGGCTTTTTAATTGAATTTTCTTTGCATTTTATTATTATATCGTAAAAAAATCCATTTTATTTACTAAAGATTTTCTTTCGCTCATAATTCATTAACATGTTCTTACGTTTCTTGCTGTTTTTTTTTTTCTTCATTGCAGATGAACCAGACCTGTAAGGTCTGTGGCGAACCGGCGGCAGGTTTTCATTTTGGTGCATTCACCTGTGAAGGTTGCAAGGTGAGTTTTCTTTTGGTTGGTGGGAAAATCTATTTTCCTATAATAAAAATTTTAAATATTAATTAATAAAAAATTAATTATTTAATAAAAAATAAATATGAAAGCTCGTAACTGTAAATAAAAATCATTAAAATAATCATTCTCTTCAAAACACCCCCTAAAGCAAACAAAAGACTTAAGCAACAAATTTGCTTTATTGGCGCCTTGTCATTATCATCTTTAAACCTCTTCTCTTCTTTTGGGGTATATTAATGATGATTTATATTCAAAATTGCCATTAATTACACCTGATATAGAACAATTGCCATTCGGAAACCAACAACAATCGAATGGACCAGTATTTAATTCTGCATATACCTGAACTAATTGATATTATATAGTATTAATTTTGACATTTGCAATCGTTTTAAAAACACATAAATATTTTTAGAAATGATATAACAATCGAAAAAGGTGGAGATAGAACTTGTTTCCAAAAAAATGATTTGTGCCGAAGAAGTGTTGGACGATAGCAAACATATTTTTGGAAAATAAACAAAATGGATTTGAAAAATATTTTATAATTTTATATATCTTCCGAATCTATCATAAGGGCGAATGTTTGTTAAGAATAATTTTTGAGTCATATTAAGGACAACATTTTTTGTAAGGCGTCAGAATCTAAGGTGGTTTAAAAGAAACTGTTTTTCAAGAAGCAATGGATGTGGAGATTTCCAACTAAATATTTACTAAAGTAGACCGAAACATGACACTTTGAAAGAATATGTATACCCTTCACCACACTGTGGTACAGGGTATTATGTCATTGTGCATATATTTGTAACAGGCAGAAATAATCGAGATAGACCCATGGTTCCTTTTGAAAATATGCATAGAGTCGATTTCGCATTTCTGAGTCGATTTACGCATGTCCGTACGTCCGTCCGGCGCGGATTTTTCAAAAAATATTTCCGAAGGCGTGGATTTTTTAAATATACATTTTCAAGCCTATCCTAAGGCGTGGATTTTTTAAATATACATTTTCAAGCCTATCCTAAGGCGTGGATTTTTTAAATATACATTTTCAAGCCTATCCTAAGGCGTGGATTTTTTAAATATACATTTTCAAGCCTATCCTAAGGCGTGGATTTTTTAAATATACATTTTCAAGCCTATCCTAAGGCGTGGATTTTTTAAATATACATTTTCAAGCCTATCATAAGGCCGTATACATTTACCACTGAAGGACATAGACCAGAGGTGTTGAGTATATCCAAGAGCAGTGCTTGGCCTTTAAATTGATGACAATTTTCTTGTCGAATTTACTCGGATGTTAGAGTTATACTTAAATATTTAAAGGTGCTTACGTATTCATATATTAGCTAGAGGGCCATTAACAATAGAGAGCGGATATATAGCGGTGATCACTTTGAAATTTTGCATGAGGATCCAGATATGGTCAAGGATAACGCCTATAATTTCGGTGATGATCAGATAATGACATTGGGATGAAGTGCATCGTGTTTTGTGTTTTTTTTTCGAGTCGATCTATAGGCCGCAATTGAAAGCCGAACATTACAACACAACCCACGGTGAAGGAAATCTGCACAAGTAATTAGAATGGCTGTACTGAATATTAGTAATATTTTTTTACCTCTAGTCGGTCGAGAGGGTGCCGAACATTACAACACAACCCACGGCGAAGGAAATCTGCACAAGTAATTAGAAGGGCTGTACTGAATATTAGTAATATTTTTTTACCTCTAGTCGGTCAAGAGGGTGCAACTATCACGAAATATTGCCCAGGCTCGGAATAAAAATCCACAGAAAGTTAGAGTTCCGTTGTAGTTGTGTAGGGTATCGTATGACCTATGGTTCCCGAAATTTGGCACAGCGTACTGAATTGAGCCCAGAATTATGTGTGCTAAGTTTCTTGAAAATCGATTAATATTTAGATATAGCTCCCATATATATTTTCGTCCGATTTCAGGTAAATAGTGCACCAAAGTACTGAAATAAGTCTAAAGTGATGAGTGTTAAGTTTCGTGAAAATCGGTTCAGATTTAGAAATAGCTTCCATTTATATGTTCGACCGATTTAATGTAAATGTTGTACCAAAGTCCCAATATATCCGTCGATTTGCACGAAATTTGGCATGGCGTACTGAATGAAATCTAGAGTGACGTGTATTAAGTTTCGTGAAAATCGGTCCAGATTTATACATAGCTCCCATATATATTTTCACCCTATATATTCTTCGATTTGCACGAAATTTGGCATGGCATACTAAATTCAACCTGGAGTGATGTCTGCCAAGTTTCGTGAAAATCGGTCCAGTTTTAGATATAGCTCCCATATATAATTTCGTCCGATTTTAGGTGAATGGTGGACCAAAGTCCCTACATATCTTTCGATTTGCACGAAATTTGGCACAGCGTACTGAATTAAGCCTACAATGATGTGTTCTAAGTTTGCTGAAAATCGGTTAAGATTTCGATATAGCTCCCATATATATTTTCGTCCGATTTACTGTAAAGAGTGCACCAAAATTCCTACATGTAGCTCCCATATATATTTTCGACCGATTTAATTTAAATTGTGCAGTAAAGACTCAAAGATAGGCCGATCGGCACACAATTTTGTACAATGTACTGTCATGTGTCAAGTTTTCTTGAAATTGGTTCAGATATACATATAGCTTCTATATATACTTTCGTCCGATTTTAAGTAAATGGTGCACTAAAGACCCATACCTAGGCCGGTTGACAAAACGTACGGAAATTAATACAAATTAAATTATCTAGCAAGTTTCCTTGAAATCGGTTCAGATTTAGATATAGCATAGTTTCCGTATATAATTTCGACCTATTCATGTTGATTGTACACCAAATAATCAATGGGTGCCTGATTGATACATTTTAAACAGTGAAGCATACCAAACAGTATGTGAAAAGTTTGCTTTAAGGGAACCCCACCCATTCTCGATTTTAATTTTTCAAGATTTTCAATTGGCTGGTAAATCAATACCAATGCTTGTTAAGGTTTGTGACTTTGCACAGATATATTTGACGATTTAAAGGAGAAGAAAAATAATTTACAAAAAAAAATTGTTATTGCTTTGTTGTTGTTTTTTTGTAATTAAAGAAAAGTCCTTATTTTTGATGGCGGGCATGATAACTCCTCACTGGATCATCGGAATCCGAAAATTCCAACGGCGTTAGAAAGAGTACATGTCTGGCTCTCGTATGAACTAAGATTATTGACTTCGCTCTAAAATTAACAAAATGGCGGACCTTTGAAAAAATATTTTTGGAAAATCGCCGATTTTTGACCAAAAACCAAGTTAAAAAATAAGGAAGATCTTCACCGATTGACTTTATCCTAGTTCATACGATAGCTATACACTCACAGAGAAACGTGTAAAAATTTGAAATCGATTGGGTTATTAGTTTTTGAGTTATCGTGCCCGCCATTCGCAAAAGAGAAAACGCGTTTAAAGTTTGAGAAGCCCTTTAGCCGCCACTTAATGCTGACACAATAAATCGGCTATATCTTCAAGAGTTCTTGAGATTTTCGCTTGAAGTTTTGTAGAGACATTCTTGAATTAGTGTAGAATCGAATTAAATCATAAAAATTTTTGACCCCGAGAATGGGGGGGTCCCCTTAAATCCATTTTTCAAAGTATGGAATAGTTTGCAGAATGGCATGTGTTCGGATTGATGTTAGTCGGTTTACTTATAGATAAACATCGCATATTTGAGTTCGTTCAATTTTATGTCAATATTCCTTTGAAAAGGCGACGTCTGTTAGGATAGATATGTAGAATATACCCAAAATGGTGAAGGGTATCACATAGTCGGGCCAGTCCGATTTTACTACTTTCCTTACTTGTTTATAAATTATTTTGTATGGTTCTACACAAGGCGTCGATTTTGTAAAAATTTTTTTGTGTGGTTCTACACAAGGCCTGCATTTTTTAGAAGTTTGTTACTAATAATTTGCCCATAGTTTTCAATTCCAAAGAATGCCCTTCTTAAAATGATTTCAGGAATTTTTTTGGTTTTAATTCGTTAACTGCAAAACTATTTTGACTTGTATCTGCCGTTTTCGTTTGTCTTAGAAATCGCAATTATTTTTTACCAAGCCAATTTCAAGGAAAAAAATGTCAAAGCCATTCTAAATAATTTTCTAAAGTTTTTGTGGCAAATGAAACCTCCAAACAAACTTTAGAACAAAACGTTAGAAACACCTAATCATCTATGTGTTGGTGTGTGTGAGTGTCAAACTCCAAAATTGATTAAACGTGATTTAATGTCATTAAAAAACATCAGTGATTCATTCATTCATTCATTTAGATTGCTCTAAGTTACAATTTTGTTGTTGTTGTTATTCGTATTGTTGTTGTTGTATTTCATGGCACTTTAAATGTTACAAAAATCATTATCATTTTCCACCTACTAAAAATGTTTCGCTTCACTTTTTGTCTTGTTGTTGCTGTTTTCGTTACTAGCTCCAATGCCATTAACAGCACAACAAGAACAATAGCTGCAACAACAACCACAACAACAAATAACATTGACAATAAGAATACACAAAACAAATAAACAATTTAATTCAATGGGGGGCAAAATGCACAACAGCAACAATAACAAAAATAACAACAACAAATGCAGAAAAAATAAACAACTTAACCAAAAAGGTATGAAGAGGAAAACAACCGAAATGAAAAAAATATTAAGTTCGGCTTCGACGAATTGGTGTAACCTTAAATCTAGAGAAAATTTCAAAACTTAAGCATTTCAACATTGCACATTTTGTCTAGGACCCTGAAAAAATTATTTAAAAATCTACGCCGTGTCTAGTACCCCGAAGAAATGATTTATGATTTGTCCATGCCTAGGACAATTAAAAATTTATTTAAAACTCTACTCTACAACCCTGAGACAATTATTTAAAAAATCGACGTCTTAACTAGCACCTTAAAAAACTAAGCCTTGCCAAGGACACTGAAAAACTATATT